TGTCCGAGCAAAGCAAGAGAAGCCAGACAGAGAGAGAGAGAGAGAGAGAGAGACAGACAGAGAGAGAGAGAGAGAGAGAGAGAGAGAGAGAGAGAGAGAGAGAGATAGAGAGACAGAGAGAGAGAGAGAGAGAGAGAGAGAGAGAGAGAGAGAGAGAGAGAGAGAGAGAGAGAGAGAGAGAGAGAGAGAGAGAGAGAGAGAGAGAGAGAGAGCGAGAGAGACAGAGACAGAGACAGAGACAGAGACAGAGACAGAGACAGAGACAGAGACAGAGACAGAGACAGAGACAGAGAACCTTGGAGAAGTGCAAAGACTGCTAGCAGATAGCGCTTCACAAACAGACTGACTGTCATTGCGATATCAGGACCTTGATGATACAGTCTCGTCCCGTGCAAGTCCAATCTTACACTTATGGTTCCTTTGGAAACGTCTCAGAAAGTTCGCCGAAGGGGTGGGAGGAGCAGTTTGACACGAGGAGCGCCGAGAGGAGAGTAAGGCTCGTGTGCTTTATAGCTGAGAGGTCACACAACTTCAGGTGGCTCAACTTGGATCGCTGGCACGGAGGAACTTTCATCGCTTCCTGCAACACACCGACTTGTTTCATTCGCTGAATTGTCACGCCCGAAAGAAGATAGAGAATGAAATCCACGCTCATCACTTTCGTCAGGGCCAAGTGACAGCATCGAGCTCTGATCTCTGATCCTTGACAAGTAGCAGGTCGTAGCTGACAAGTCAGAGCCCAAGCTTTTCTTTGTGCTGAGAGGCACCATACGAGCGGAACCCAGTCACTTGCACTGGTCTGCCGGTCAGGTTCGCCTCCTCCCCTCTGCCTCTCCTCGTCGCATGATGACCGGATCGAGCCAGGGCTCTGGAGCTGCTCCTCCCGTCGAGACCCTCGTCGCTCACTCCCCGACCTGTACGGTCCTCCTCCTCGACCAGGTCACCCGCCTGTGCCTCTGCTTGACCTGACGTGCCGCCAGCATTGGCTGACGCAGCAGCAACACTCGGGTAGGCAGCCTCTGAACGAGCTGACAGGCGAGCTGCAGCGAAACGAGGTGAAGGAGGGAGGGAGGGCGGGAGGAAGTGACTCTGCTGATGCCGCTAGGGTTGGATCGCGTCGAGCTCGAGGCCTGACAAGGAGAGCAGAGAAACGAGCTCTGCCCTGGAGGAGGCGATCCTCAACGACGACAGACAGAAGCTAGTGGAGATCTGTCGAGCCCATCCCTCATGCTGTCACTACTTGCAGACCTTCTCCAACGACACGCTGCCGACACATCTTGCAGCCAAGAGCAGAAAAACCGGAGCACTCAAGTGCTTGCTGCAGCTGGGGGCGTCAACCAACGCAAGAGACTCAGGCAGCAGGACCTGCTTGCATGTCGCTGCTCTTGCGGGAAACTCGTCAGCCGTCAAGGCTCTTGTTGAAGCCAGCGCCCATGTCAACGTCAGCGACTCTCAGCTCCGAACTCCTCTGCATGCAGCCTGTTTGTCGGGGATGCCGATCATCGTCGCGAGCTTGCTTGAGGCCTCTGCGGCGGTGGACGTGCAGGACTGGAGGCTTGAGACGCCTCTGCACCTCGCGGTCGCTCATGGGTACTTGCTCACCCTCCCTCCCATGCTGCCAGTCGCCTCACGAGACCCGACAGGCACGCGGAAGCCGCGAGACAGCTGCTGATGGCGGGAGCTGACTGGGAGATACGAAACTTGGAAGGCAACAACAGCTGGCATGCAGCTGGGTTCTGGTATCGCCATGAAGACATGGCTGAGGACGTCGAGAAGAGGTTGAGCTGAGGAGAGAGGAAGGAGTGAGGAGGGTGAGGCTGGTGTCAGGCAGGAGATCTGGAGCATGTTCCAGGAGGTGAAGGAGCGGGAGGGAGGCTTCCGAGGGCGTCAGAGCATGCCTCATTCGCTCAGGTCGACCTGCCTCTCCCTCCCAGCCTGACCCCGCCCTTAGGCCTCGCGACTACCTCGCAAGGCACCGCGAGCCTATGCAGACGCCTGAGATGAGCTCGACGCTCGCTGATGAGGAGGCGAAGCAGGTGCAACAAGTGAAGCAGGTCGTGCTCTGAGTTTGTCGGCCATCAGACTGACATGAAGCAGCTGCTGCCATCGCGTTCATCAACCTTCAATCTTGTTTGACTTGCTTCTGGTCTTTCGACTGTAAACGTCAAACAAGCCCCTGCCGCTCACCGTCTCGCTCACTCTCCCTCTTGTCTATGTTGAGCAAAACCTCACGGATGTCAATGTGGTCGCTAGTAGTCAGTCTGAGACTAGTAGCGACCAGAACTCTCTTCACTCTCTATAGTCTGCTCATTCTATAATAGACTCAGTCAACCAGTATCAGAAGCAACTGCTCCCTGTGGTCGTAGCAACTGCTATCTGGGACTTGGTAGAGGAAATACTAGATGGAGCTGAAAGATAAGCGAGACTGCATGGAGCTGGAAGATAAGCGAGACTGCATGGAGCTGAAAGATAAGCGAGACTGCATGGAGCTGAAAGATAAGCGAGACTGCATGGAGCTGAAAGATAAGCGAGACTGCATGGAGCTGAAAGATAAGCGAGACTGCATGGAGCTGAAAGATAAGCGAGACTGCATGGAGCTGGAAGATAAGCGAGACTGCATGGAGCTGAAAGATAAGCGAGACTGCATGGAGCTGGAAGATAAGCGAGACTGCATGGAGCTGAAAGATAAGCGAGACTACATGGTGCATGGAGCTGAAAGAACATGGAGCTGAAAGATAAGCGAGACTACATGGAGCTGAAAGATAAGCGAGACTGCATGGAGCTGAAAGATAAGCGAGACTGCATGGAGCTGAAAGATAAGCGAGACTACATGGAGCTGAAAGATAAGCGAGACTGCATGGACTGCATCAGTCCGCCTGCTCAGCGTCAGAGCCTTCTAGGGGCTGCGACACTCGAGGGAAGGGGACGTGACCTGTCTGAGACTGCGAGGAGTGAGAGGAGGAGAATGAAGTCATCAAGGACTCACAGGCTCATCCAGGGATCCACGAGCTGCGCCTCCTCCTTGGCCTGCAGCCACTTGCTGCCTCGCACCTGCCGCTCGTCAGGATGGGAGCGAGAGGAAGAGAGGTGAGGAGAAAGGGGAGGGAAGAAGTCAGAGTTGAAGAGAAGAAGGGGAGGGAGAGGGAGAGGGAGAGGGAGAGGGAGAGCAACAGCAGTAGGCCTACCTGAATCACTCGAAGTCTGGTGGGACTTGAGGCCTCAGGCTCGAGGAAGCTCGCGAGGCCACGGGGGAGCTGGCGATCCCGTCGGCTGAGCTTGAAGCTGCTGTGAGAGAGGACGGTATGAGGGTCAGGCCTAGAGGGAGAGAGGGCCTGGAGGGAGAAAGGCTCCCCGTCCTCGAGCGCTTCTCCTCCTCCTCGTCGTTTGGGCGACTTGAACCTGACGACGTAGGGAGAGGAGGCGACCAGTCGTTCGACTGTTGCTGCTGTTGTTGCAGTTGTTGCGGTAGGAGGAGGTTGAGAAGGCCTTGACCGCAAAGTCTGAGAGGAGGGAGAGCGTCGGAAGGTCTTAATGCTGCTGGGCGTCTGGTGGAGTCGCTTCTTCCTCGGAGAGGCGTCAGCAGCCTCTGCCGTCTCCTCCCCTTGCAACAGCTGAAGCCGCAGGGACGCGGTGAGAGGAGTATCCTTGAGGAGAAGAGAGGAAACTATGGGTCGGGCAGAGGCAGGAGGAAGGAGCAGGAGAAGCTCCCTGAGCTCCATGAGCAGCTCCTTCCCTTCCTCCCCCCTCCCTCGTTCAATCCCGAAACTCTCCTGCTCCAAGGACTTCGCCTCCCATCCGCTTAACCCCGACACCTGCGCGAGACTTCCTGTCATTGGATCTCCTCCTCCTCCTCCTCCTCCAGCTGATGATGCTGCTTTCTTGCGACCTCTGCCTTCTTCTTCTTCATCCACTTCAAAGTCCTCGAGTGCTGGCGAATGATCATCATGCAGAGAGCTAAACGACGAGTTGTGAGAATCCACACCCTCCTCCTCCTCCTCCTCCTCCTCCTCCTCCTCCTCCTCCTCCTCCTCCTCCTCCTCCTCCTCCTTGCACATGTTTCGATGATACCCCTTCCCTCGTCTATCCTCGTCCTCGTCCTCGTCCTCTTCAAACGTGTCGTTTCTTCCAACACCGCCAGGCTCGTCCTCCTCGTGTTCGGACGGAAGGTGTTTAGAGACGGAGGACTCGCGGTCGCTCGCGGAGTCTTCCATGTCATAATCATTGTCGTCATAGCCGTACTGACTCTCTTCGTCGGATCTGGGAGAGACGACGCAACCAGGTTCGCTCTGCTCCTCCTCTTGCCTTTCAACGACTTCTTGCTGCTTCGCATGTCCATCGCCTCCGTCACCGCCAGCTCCCAAGCTGCCTTCAACCCCATCAACATCAATGCTCGAGACGTGCTGATCGTCGAGGGTCTCCGTCAAAGAGGGTCGAGTTGGCGTCATCGACCCTCGTCTCACTCGCTTCGAGAGCGGCGAGGTAAAGGAGGAGCCGGAGGACGCGACCAGAGCCTTGCGGGAGGGAGGGACAGGACCGAACTTGCTGTAAAGTTGAGTAGGAGAAGGCTGGGGGTCGGGTGCTTGTATGGACTCGTTGACTTTGTCTTCCATATTGTGCAGGAGCTTCTCAAGTTTGCCCAGGACTTGTTGCGGTCGGCGGTTGAACAAGCTCAGCATGTGCTTGGCCTCCTCCTTCTCCTTCTCGATCTCCGACAACACCTTCAGCTTCTCGTGGTTTGCCTTCTTCTTGCTCTCCAACCTCTGCCTGCACTAGCTTGAGCGCAGCCCTCTCCCTCTCCCTCCCTCCCCCCGTCTCCCTCTCTCCCCATCTCTCCTCTGCTCACCTCGCTTGCAGCGCTTCCTGGTCGTTGGCTCTCGCTTGCAACAGCCTCTGATATTCTTGTGCCCTCCTCATCTCCCTCACTCTCTCGATCTTGGTGAGTCGCTCCAACCGCCTCCTCTCGTCCTCGATCTCCTTCCTCGCCCTCCTTCCTTCTTTCAGGTCCTTCAGGCTTCTCTCCTTGTCCTCCCTCACACGGACAAGGTAGTTACACCGCCTCTCCTGCAGCCCGATCGCCTCCATCCTCTTCAACTCGAGCCTCTCTTTCCTATCCTCCATCCTCCTCATCTTTTCTTTCATCGCCTGCGCAACAGCAACGTCATGCACCACCTTCCTCCCTCCTCCCTCACCTCGTCAAATCTTCGCGTGCTCCTCTCCTCCTCCAGCGACTTTTGAACCACATGGAGCCACTCGTTGTACTCCTCCTGCCTGCTCCGGCGAACCTCTTCGTGCCATTCCTCCCTTACCTTCTTCTCCTCCTTTCGCTTCAACAAGGCTGCCCTCCTCTCTTCCTCCAACCTCTCCAACTTTCTCTCCTCTTCCAACCGCCTCTCCTCTAGAGCTCTTTTCCTTCTTTCCTCCTCCTCGCATCTTGTTTCCTGAGCAGTCTGCATCCTTAGCTGCTTGACTCTCTCTTCCTCTTGCCTCTTTTCTCGCTCCTCCTGCAACTGCCTCCTTCTAACCTCCTCCCTCGCTCTAGATTTCTGCTCCAATTCTTCTCTCCGCTGCTGCTGCTGCTTCTTGCGCGCCTCCTCCTTCAGCAGCCTCTTCCTCTCCTGTTCCCTTGCCTTTGCTCTCTCCATCTCCTGCTTGATTCTGTTCTGCGCCAGCTTCATTTCTTTCTCCTCCTGCAGCTTCTTCGACGACATTCTCTTCCTTTCAGCCTCCTCCTCAGCTAGTTGCTCCCTCCACTTCCTCTGCTCCTCGAGGATCGCTGCCCTCCGAGCATTCAGTCGAGCATCTCGTTGCTGAATGACCTCAAAGCGGTACATCCGCTGCTCCTGCTGCTTCTTCCTCAACGTCTCCTCCTTGGCCCTGATCTTGGATCGGATGTGTTCCTCTAGCTGCGCCCTCGTCTTCTCAGCCGCCATGGCAGCTCGCAGCTCCTTCGCCGTCCGCGTCCTCCTCCTCGTGACTTCGAGCGATACTTCGACAGAGAAGTCAGCCGAGACTTTGGAGCGGCTGAGGGTGGAGCGGAACTTGTTGACGTAAGGTGAGGAGGAGGATCGATTCTCAACGTCGATGAACTTGATGGAGCTGGACTCAGTGGAGGCACCATCCCTCCGACTGCTCAAAGAGTCGCAACTCTGCGCCCTCCCTTGTCCAGCAGCTTCACTTTCTCCCCCGGCATCCGTGGTATCAGCTCCTGACACTTGAGCATCGTGGCTTTCGGCCAAGTCTACCCGGAGGATCCTCTTCCTCGTTCGCAGGACTCTCCTCACCCGATCATCCCTCTGCTCCTTCTCGTGCTCGTACCTCATCCTCTGTCGCAACTTCGACAGCCCTACCTCAGCGAAGCTCTCCATGCTTCTGCTCAGCAGTTGCTGGGGTGATAGCCCGCATCGCAGACAGGCTTCTACCGATCTCGGGCTGGTGATCATCCTCGTCCCCTCCATCGCCTCTTCACTCTCGATAGAGACGAGCGGTCGAGCAGACTGGCGAGATACTCGCGGAGGACGAGCTTTCTCCGCTCGCTCTCGCATCATCTCCGACTTGATCTGCCTGATGGACTTCTCCTCCTGCTCCAGACGAGCTTGAGACTTCTTCCTCGCCTTGGGTTTCGGAACTTGACGGCGAACGGGATGGGAAGAGGAGGAGGAGAGGAAGGAGACGCTACTGACCTTGTCCTGCAGCATGTCAAGCGCTGGATGGGAGCGGAGGGCTGACCTTGCGAGGGAGAGATGTATGCTGGTGGAAGAACCTGAGCGCCTGGTGAATCAGCCCGGAGCTAGAGATGTCCTGCAGTGAGCATGAGGGAGGGTGAGAGGAAGAGCAGCAGCATGCTAGTCGCTCACCGCTGAGACCTGGTGGAATATCCTCGGAGGAAGCTTCTTGGCGAGTTCAAGCCCTTCGTTCACCAGCGCCTCTACGGTGTTGACGAGACTATCCGCCTCCGCTTCTGGAGGCTCCTTAGCTTCCCCTCGCAGGCACATGCCGTCGTCTCTTCCTTGCCTTGCTTCTTCTTTATCTTCCTGCTGACGCTCTTGCAGTCCGGTTCGCCCATGCTCGACTAGTTCGCATGGCTCTGCTGGGGAGGCAGCGTTGGCTGGTCCATACTCATCGTCGTCAGCTGGCTGCCTGGTGAGGTCGTTGGAGCTCGGGAGCCGGATGGAGTGAGATCCGATTTGAATGCACATGGACTCCTCGTAGAGGCTTCGCTCCGACCCAGATGGCGTCACCCGAGCTCGACGGTCACCGTCGTCATGCCGCCTCGTCTCAAGGGCCTCATGCTCGGGGGGTCTTGATGCGCCTTCTTCGTCTGCCCCTCTTCCCTTCTCCCCCTGGTACTGCCTCTTCTCCTCTTCTCCTCCCTCCTCCTCCTCCTCCTCCCTCCTCCTCCCTCCCCCCTCCTTCGCCATCGCCAGCAAACCGTTGACAAGCTTGATGGCTGTTACGTTTTGGTAAATGTTCCGTGCACGGAATAATTGAAGTTCTGTCCAAGGAACACAGTCAGAGCAGTCAACCGTTGTGTCTACTTTGACCAGTAAAAATGCAGGGAAAGCAATGGCGGTAGTGCGTGGGCCAGAACGAGGAAGAGCAGGAGCAGGAGCAGGAGCAGGAGCAGGAGCAGGAGCAGGAGCAGGAGCAGGAGCAGGAGCAGGAGCAGGAGCAGGAGCAGGAGCAGGAGCAGGAGCAGGAGCAGGAGCAGGAGCAGGAGCAGGAGCAGGAGCAGGAGCATCAGGAGGAGTGAAGAAAATTAGAGGACCGGGAAAGCAGCAAGTGAACTCAGCCTGCCTTGTTGTTTGTGCTAACTTGCATTTCTTGGAGTTGCTGTTTCGACAGACGATGAGCAAGATTGCGACATGATACGATGTTACCGTAAAGGATGTCGGCAAAGAATGAGAGGTGGCCTGCTTTGTATTGTTGTGCGGTCATCAGATGTTCTTGACATCCATTCTGCAGCATCCCCATCTCCACGGAGTCGTTTCAAGCTGCTCATCTTGTGCAGATCGACTTGAGCTACCTGCAACGATGCATCTCGTTCCTTATACAGTCTTCAGAGGACCACAGCTCTTTCCTCCATGTGCTGGAGCGAAAGGAAGAGTCGCTGTCAGGCCGCGCAGATGTCTTAGAGACGGAGGTCAAGGAGCTCCAAGGTCTGCAGCAAAGGGACGATGCCCGCATCGCTGAGCTGGAGAAGACGGCAGTCACACACAGTCACTTGCTCAATGACTTCGCCGTTGACCTCGAGGCCCTCAGGTCGGACACGACTCGCAGCCTCTCGGAGCTGAACGCGAAGCTCGAGGCGCAAGTAGAGAAGTTGGCAGATGAGATGACGAAAATGAGGGAGGAGCAAGAGGAGTCCTTCAGCCTGCTGAGGAAAGAGACCTCCAGCATGAAGATCAAGATGAAGGAGATGGAGGAGGAGAACGAGCGGGAGAAGGAGGAGACAGCAAGACAGTTTGCTTCGATGAAGGAGACGTTCGATACTCAGCTCTCCATCCTTGAGGAGCAGCTGCGGTTGACGTCCGAACGAGCTGAGAAGGCCGAGAAGATGTCAGAGGATGCAGCAGCTGGGGTCAAGCTGGCTCAGGAAGCGGCAGCGGCAGCGGCAGCGCAGGCAGCGGCAGTGGCACAGCAAATAGAGGAGGCGAACAAGTTGAGCTACGTGCATCAAATAGAGCGAGAGAAGATCATCGAGAGGTTGGATACCGCCAGCAGCCTCACGGAGGAGACGGCAGCCGGTCTCTCCTCCCAAGGGCACGATGACTGGGCTGGGAACCTGCAGCAGGCGATGGCGAGCATGGTGTCGGCATGGCAGGTGTCAGGATGTTGTGACCCTCATTTTTCAGCCTGTAAAGGTCATCATTGGCAGGTGTCAGAGCAGCGGCTGACGGCCTTGCATGACAAGGTGGAAGGGATCGACATGATGGTGAAAGTTCAGAACATCGAGGGGAGGGAGCCGGGGGAGTATGAGGAGAGCCGGGGGCAGCAGCCTGCGGAGAAGCAGGAGGAGAGGATCGACCTAGAGAGTCAGGAGGAGACGAGGAGGATAGAGCAGAGCATGCCAGCTAAGACAGGAGCTGTGTTCCGGCAGATCATCGAAGCCCACGGGTCGCTGACGAAGAGGAAAGCAGACAAGGCAGAGTTCGACACCTTGTGCGGCAAGGTACAGGAGCTCGACCTGTTCGTGAAGCAGCTGAGGAGGAGTGAACGAGCGGGGTCGCAGGTGAGCGCGTGCTCGCAGGTGATGCTGAGGGCCCCTGGTGAGACTGAAAATCACAGAAAATGCTGGCGGCACTCGGGGACCAGCAGAAGCTCCCGCAAGACGATGACATATCCAGAGTATGCTGACTCCCCTCCCTTTCTTTGACTTTCATTGTCTCCTGACCCCTCCCCTCTTCTCCTTCCTCTTCCTCGTCATTCTCCTCCCCGTCAGCTCCTCCGCTCATGATTGGGTAGATCACCAACGAGCTGGAGAACACCTCCACGTCCTTATCGAGACTCGTGCTGAGGGTACAGGAGCTTGAAGGGGCAGCGCTCACTGGAACAATGCAAGTGCCTCTCAACTTTGAGTCATGGAGTGAATCGAACGTGCAGGATGGTCATGGAGCAGTCACCATTGCAGCAACAGGCGCTGTCGGACCGTTACAACGAGTTGCTCCTCCTCTTGAACGGTTTTTCTCGATCTCAGCGGTTCCACTTTGACAGTTTGGCAGCGAAAGCAGGGCAGGAGGAGGTGAAGGCAGTGCGAGGGGAGCTCGACCAGATTCGAAAGCATCTCTTCGGTTTCGCTCTCTCAGGCACTTCCGTACAGCACGAGACGGCTAGCAAGCCCCTTGCAGACGCCTCCACCAGTACGAGATGGCAGGATGCGGCAGAGCAGACTGAGCCGGAGGAGAAGGAGGAGGAGGAGAAGCAAGAGGAGAAGGAGGCGCAGGTACGTTTGTCGAGATCGACTAAAGTCTATCTCCTCATTGTCTCTCCCTCCCTTTCACACCTCAATTTATCTTACCCTCTCTCTACCCTCTTGCTCGCTCTCAGAGTTCGAACCACCTCAAGTGCAACGAGGCCATCGCAGCTCTGGTCCCTCCTCTCCCTCCCTCCTCTCCTCCCTCACCCGATGCCGCCAGGCAATGAGAGTCGCTCAGTTGGAGCACAAGAAGTGGACGAGGAGCGGGCTGAGAGTGGCCACCACCACCTCCTCCTCATCGACTCATCTGACCTCCGCACACGACGACCTCAAGCGCTACGAGATGGAGAAAAGACCCAGGACTAGCGCGACAGAGCTCCGGTCCAAGCTTCCTCCCACCCGGGCATGCCTTCCTCTCCTCAGGGGCCGCGGGCGCTCACTGAGTGTTGCAGGATAGCAGGCGAGCTCTTGTGGAGGCGGTGGCGACGCCTCGTCATAGGCCGGAGGCAGGGCCGGGGCTTGTTGCTCCTGACAGCAGGAAGTCTTCGACCCCTAAGGTCGTCAAGTCTCCTGCCTTCGCCCTCATCGCAGGTCTCAGGGATGACGAGGATGGCGCCTGGGCTCCTCTAGAAACGCTTCCTCCTCCTCTCTACCCCTTGCCTCAGCCCTACCCAGACTCTTCACCCAGCTCGTCGCCTGCCCGACGTGAAGGATCGGAGGGAAGAAGCATGAAGGAGAGCAGAGCTCGCTACCTCAAGTCACGGTGAGCAGAATTTGATTGACTTGCCGTCTTTAGTCGTGACGTTTCTCGTGCTGGCTGGTCAGAGAGTGAACCGGCCCGGGGCCGGACTCCGAATCTCAATCCCGGGCGGGGACCGTCTCAGGTGGGCCTGAGTCACTGCAGTCATCAGTCACTCCCGGCGCGGCAGCGGGGCCACCGTCACTCGGAACAGTCACGGTCACAGTTGTACAACTTGTTGTTAGTTAAACTTGAAATCATAGATTTCAACTCGTCGACGGTTGACTCAGTCATCTGAAGACCGTTTCCGCGGGCCCGACCCGGGACTCGGGCCGCAGTCGGGCCGAGCCTCGGAGGTCCCCGGCAACTGCGGCCAGGCCCGAGCTCGGAGGTCCCGCCGGGCAGCGGAGGCGGCGTGGGCCCGGCCGGGCACTGCTGCGGCGCGGCCGGGGTCCCGGGGGCCGGCCCCGGCATAGTAGCTCAGTGACCGACCGTACCTTGAACCTCGGAGCACCGGGCAGTGAACGTGTCCGTCGGAGATGCCTACCAGTCGCCAAGTTATACGCAAAGTTTCATTATCGAACCAGCGGGGTGGGTGGTGGGACTGGGAATCGACAGGGGGTACTTTATGAGGAAAAAAGGGGTACCTCCTGGAAACAACCACTACCCACCCTACTATTGACCATAATTCACTTCCACCCCCACCTATCAAAATTGACCAGCAGCATCACCCCATGCAACCCCCGAGCAACCAAGACCTTTTACTACCCCTACCCTCCGATTGAGTGGATTTACTACCCCTGGTGTGTTATTGCCCCCACTCCTGATCATGACTCAGCTGACAGCTTGACTACCCCACCATGAAATTAACAAATACCTCCCCATCAAGACTACCCTACCCCACTCAATACCCCAAGAGTACCCCACTCAATGACCTCACTTCCACTCCACTACAACAGATACCCTACCCCCTCCATTGACTACCCTGTCCGTCCCCCAGCCCTCAATTACGTTGTATCCCTCTATCCACCTGTAGTACCCCCACCCCTCATGGGGTAATAAAAAGAGAAGAGGTATCCACCAGGGGGTCACGAAGCTGGAGTAGTAAACAATAGAGGGGTACAAGTGACTCGTATGGGAGAAGGGTGGGTGGTAAAACAACTCTCGGGGGTGGGGTGGGTCAGAAATGTTTAATCAAGGGTGGGTACCGAGCAGTCATTTAAAAGGGTGAGGGGTACAACATGTGGCATTCGAGTTGCTAAAAGCAAGTCTGTGAGGGTGGTGGGGTACAATGTGTGCTCCGATGGGGTACCACACTTGGGGGGTGCATGGGTACCCCTCGTAAATCCATTCTCCTTTCTTTTGCCCTATGGGTGGGTAGGTACTTTATCAGGAATGGAGGGGTGGGTCTCTCCAAATGTAGGTGGGGTACTTCCAAAAATGAAATCTGTGTAGGTAAGGGTTCAAATCGGAGCAATCGATTACCCCTGCTTTGTAATCAAAAATTACAAAAATTGATGGGTGGGTAGTGAGAAAGGTGGGTGGGTGTGGCACATGTGGGGGTAGTCAATGGGGGGTAGAGTGGTAAAGGCTGATGTGTGCGAAGATGGCAGGAGGAGAAAGAGCCTGACACAAGGGGAAGGAGGAGCGGGAAGACTGAAGGAGGAGGAGGAAACGGGAAAGAGTGAGGAGAGAAAAGAGCAAGAGACCAAAAACCAGGAATGATTTGAGTGCAGCGAATGGACGAGAGGTGAAAGAAACCGAGAGAGCGGAGGAATCGGAGTGAACCGGGACGAGGGATCAGCTGTGAACCATGCATAGATGAAGTGAAGTCAAGTATGTCCAAAGTGATAGAATCGAAAATGAGAGGGATTCGAGAAAGAATTCTGGAAGCGAGATGAGTTTGGATGGAAAGTGACCTTTGGACTACCTGTGAATGAAATGGATTTGGATTGGAACAAAAGAGTGGGAATGTTGTAGGTTCAAGGAGCAGAGGCTTTGGCGATTAGAATAGTCCGTGATGAGAAAGCGGAGATTACAAGAGGAGGAGGCGTCGAACCACGCCTATGGTTTTCGACGAGTTGGTGACAGGACTGACTGTTTTCTACAGGACATGGCCACAACCGTGATGCCACAGCGCAACCAGGTCAAGGATGACGAGATCGTTCTTGACGGTGTATTTAATGGTGAAGAAAATGAAGACGAAGTGGAGGAAGCACTTCGAGGAATGTGCGTGGAGGCAAACCCAGAAGAAGAAGAAAACTCGAATGATTACGTCGACATATCTGATGACATTGGCATTGAAGACAAGCATCATGAGAAGCTCTCGGCTGAGAGATCCGGTTTTCGGAAGATGGCGGGAAAGTCTTTGAGAGGGCTCTGGAACAGCGCCAAGAAGCTTGCGGGTCGTTCCAAAGATCGCATGAAGGATTCGGATGTGGAGCGCCTGCTAGAAAAAGTGATGAAGTGTCGACACAAGCTGGCTCATCCCAATGGAGGACTGATCAACACAGACTATGAGGGGATCAAAGTCAGCAGGAGCGTCGTTGCCGAAGTTGTGAAGCAGATGGGAAGGAAGCTCCTTTCCGGTCAGAACCTGCTGTCAGTCACCTTCCCCGTACGCTGCTGTCAGCCCAGGACGATTCTTGAGTGTGCGGCATATCAGTTTTGCTTCTGTCCGCATTACCTGTCTCGAGCTGCAATGGAAACAGATCCTGTCGAGCGTCTAAAGCATGTGACTGCTTGCTTCATTGCTTGTATCCATACGACTTCCCAGTTTGTCAAGCCCTTCAATCCGACGCTGGGAGAGACTCTGCAAGCAAGTTTTGATGGTGGAGTAAGACTCTACTTGGAGCAGACCAGTCATCACCCCCCAGTAACCTCATGGCAAGTCGTTGGACCCAACAACAGTTTCCAGTATATCGGATGGTCAACCTACGAGGCCTCATTCGGCTACAACAAGCTGTATGTGAAGCAGTCGGGCATCCGAATGTGTCAGTTTCCTGACGGGACCACCATCGAGGTTGGCTTCACGATGGACAGATACAACAACGTTTACTGGGGTGATGTCATTCAAGAGGTGCTGGGGGGATACACGTTCTTGGACACGAAGAACTCTATCAGCTGCACTATCGAGCTGAACCCGTGCAAGGGGCTGCCTTCAGATACTTTCATTGGGTCTATCAACCGACTTGATGCACAAGGCGAGATCATAAATTCCATCTGTAACGTTGAGGGCTCTTTCCTGGGCTTTTTGGACTTCAACGGGCATAGGTATTGGGACATCTCCTCGAACACAGGACGAGACCCTGTGTTCGATCCTCTTGAGAAGTGTCTGCCTTCAGACTCCCGATTCAGGTCAGGACTCCGGGACTGCACCCATGGACTGCTCTGACGTGTTGGACAGGGAGGACAGAAATGCGCTGGTCAACGGTGAGGTTGAGAGAGCGCAAGTCGAGAAGGTGCGGATTGAGGAGAGACAGGTGCCAGTACTTCCTTGTGCTTGTTGCGTCTGTGACCGTGCGTCCTCTTTGACAGCGCCGTGAGCGACGGCTGAGAGCAGCAGCGGCCAAAGGTAGCGCACTTGCCGATGAGGAAATAAGGGAGGTGACATTCTGGTACAGGTGGCCCATGGATCCCCGCGGACGTGAAGTGAAGTGAGACCTCTAAAGTGTGAAGCAAAGGAGAAGAGTCATCCTTCTCCTCCCTCCTATTCCTAACTTGTGAACCGAGAAGTGTCAGAGGCCTGCATAGCCGTCAAACAGCAAGTAGAGTCGCACGAAGAAGCTTCTTAATAAAACTCGGAGATAAGACGGTTCACTTGTTGGAGCGAGGAAGAGTTAACATACAGCCCCTATGACTCATTTGGATCTGGCGAGAGGAAAGTTGCGATCTCATCTGAAGGTGGAACATTCTTGGCTATCGGGGTGCTTGGAGATTTGCTGAGCGACTCGTCGTGGGTGGGAGATGTTCTGTCTTCATCAGGGGTGTCCACGGATATTTCGGCAGGCTTTTGCGAGCTCTCGTTCTCATGAGCTTGATTCATGTCGCTTTGCAGCGCTTCTCCTCCCGTTAGATCTAGCTCCACAAGCCCGTCGTGCTTCTGTTGCGTTTCGTCCTGCAAAGGTTGACCTCCTTGAGTTTCTGCTTGTTCATGTGCCCCGCTACCATAACGAGCCTCCCATTCAGCCATTTGCGCTTCGTCTTCCATCACCTCCATGACTCGGTCAAAGTCGTAGGCAGGTTCTCTACTCTCGCCATTGAAATCCCTGATGACGCGTTTTACCTCTTCGTCGAACTCCTCCTCGCTTAGCCATCCGCCTCTCTTCGCTGCTTGCAACCTCAAGATTTCTGAAAGAAGCGCATCACGAGCACATACAAGATGAAATGGGACCTAATACATCCTAGACTTCATTTCAACTTCACCACCTAACTCCAACTCCCAACTAAACTTGTCTACTATCTGACTCGAAGCATTTATTGTTTCCACTACCAGCAAGTGAACCTCGTTCGCTCTCCTTACTCTCTCAGGATTGTTGCAGCTCTAGCAAAGAGTTTCTTCATCCTCCTCGCACTCACCAGCTGCGAGTCCGCCGCCTCCGCCGCCTCCGCCGCCCTCTGCGCTCTGTTCCGCACCCATGGCGGGCCTGAAGCGGGACGCGGGACGATGAGGCGGGTTGCAACCAGTCACTCACAGGCTCTGCCGGGCCCGGCGGCCCGATCCGCTCACACGGCCGCCCGTCACGGCGGCGCCCGCCCGGCGCCGGTCGCGGCCGGGCCGGTCCCGGGCCGTCGGCGGGCGGCACTGTAGTACCGTCGCTGCTGCTTTGGGTAACTCTGAGAGATCGGAGTCGATACCTGAGCATTCATTTAACTTCAAACGAATCATAGTATCGTGCCCCAGCCCGCCGGGCTCAGTCCCGGAGTCCGGCCCCGGATGCGGCCGGACTCCTCATCATGGCATCCAAGAGTCACAGGAGTCTGCGGAGGCTGCGGCGCGGCTGCAACTTGAGATCCGACTAAGTTCCATCCTCTTGACTCGGCAGTCACCCCGATGTCTGAGAGTGTGCGGCGTCACTGAAGCCTCGGATCACAGTGTTGGAATAGTCACGGTCCGACTCGGAGGTAAGGAAAATATCGGATGCAAGACTTTGCAAATCAGATTTTTGTCTTGAAAGTCGGACCCAATCCTGAGGTGATTGACCCTGGGAGGAGTTTCAAGTCCACCCTGTCTTCCACATGATCAACCGTGTTATGTCAGATTTGTCTTCAGGTTCTGCTCTGATACGCTGCTACCAGCGTGATGAAACTTGATGCTCTCAGATGCGTCAATGATGTTCATCAGAACGGGTTTGCTGGTTGTGGCAGGTGCAGAATGTTTTGAGGTAACGAGTTTCGCAACTTGATGGAGGAGGAGAGGGGCCGGGGAGCGATGGGGGAAAAGTGCACAGGAGAAGGGAACACATGCTCATTCCATTCAAGTAGATTCATCTGGTATACTGCATTTCAACAAGGTTGAGCATTACCTCTTTCTCATTCTAGTCAGGCAGGGCAGCCTCGTCCCGTCCACGCTGCCTCCTTTCTGAGTCTGTAGCATCTTGATATATGCCATCGCGTGCAGCAGTGCTTCCACCTGCTTCCTCAAGGTCCAGCCAAGGTTGCTGCTCTTGGCTTCCATGTCTGCGGTGGTGCCCGTCTCCTGCTGCTGCGGGCTGGATGACGTATCGTCCTGGTCTTGTGCTTCCTCGCTGCCTGCAAGGGAGGGAAAGCAATGTTCAATCGCTGTCGAGGCCTGAGCGCTCTCATGCAAAACACTGCAGTCGACACAGACTGTTTGACGACACATAGTCGAAGGTTTCTCGGAGGTGGAGATGGGACAACTGCGGGAGTACAAGGGGAGGGAGGTAGAGAAGAAGGAGAAGCTCTATGAAAAGAGAGAAACACGGAACTTTAAAAAGATCCTCCTTCATGTAAGGGTTAGAAGGGGGCGGTTTGTGGCCTGGGGAGGGTAGGGGGTGCCTTGTCATGATCCAGAGGGTGTTAGGGTATCCTTAATTACTTAGCCACTTACTAGAGAAAATGTGTATATAGAGGGGTAAGGGTAAGGACATCTTTGTGAGGTAGGGGTACCTGAGGTACGAAAACTGTCGAGGACTTTACCACAGGTCACGTCACTGGGCTGCTGACTCGGAGAGTCTTCAGTCGCTGTCACTCCCCCAGCTGTCAGTCAGACCGTCTCTGTCCCGATCCCCCGGGGGTCACAGTCACAGCGATAACGGCCCGTGCGGATCAAGCCAGTGCCGAACTTCGGAAGTTTCCGAGCATGTGGGCGGCTCCTGCTCGTACTGATTTTTAACCTCACTTTGACTAAAGTACAGCAGCAGGATTCCGGTCTAGAGGCCGGGGGCTACGGGGGAGGCGTCACGGTACTGACCGGCCGCAGCGACATCGCTGGCATGGCCGCGGGGAAACGAACTCGGGACGTGCGCGAGGTATCAGTCACATAGTAAGTTTGGGGGACAGAACTGAACGGTTCACCAGGGCAGGATCACGGGGTTGGTTCTCACTGACCGTACCGATCTTTTCTCAGGCTTCTCGCCGTATGGCCTGTGCGACCGTGGCAGCCTAGTACTCTCCTAATTGGCCTCGTACTGATTTTTGACTTAACTTTGAGTAAAGATGAGGGCATCAAGTTTATATACATGGGCTGGTAGTGTACAGGAGGGGTCACTCGAGGACGTCGAAGATGGGCTGCCGGCACATCGGGCAGGGCCCGCCGGCCTCCCGGATCCTCTGAGTGCACTGAGAGCAAGTGACCTGGGCTCCTCTAGTCAGCTCCGACCATACCCAGCAGGCAGCCAGCACTGAGTTCTCACCTTGTGCAGGGTCTTCTCCTCGTTTCCGTGCACGATGATGACGTTCCTTGCTAGGAGTGAGATGCAGCGGCAGGAGGAGCAGGAGGAGGAGCAGGAGGAAGATCCTCGCAGAACAAGGAGGACAATGAAGAGGACAACGACGAGGAGGAATGGAGCTAGGAGAACGGAGGGGGGGGGGGGGGGGGGAAGGAAGGCGTACCGAGGGCGGTCGAGGCAGACGACGCAGAGTTCTTCGTCAATGTCGTCGGAAGGAGGAAGCTGAACATCGACTTCCTCCCACATGGACTTCATGGTCCGGTGGATGCAGACGCGGAAGCCTGAGCGCTGGCAGTGCTCGCACCTTCCCACCTCCTCCTCCCTGCTGTACATCCAGCTGACCGAGTCGGCGCTGACGACTCGGATGGAAGGCAGTCCGTCTGCGAGCTCAGACTGGGCAAAGACGACGTTGGGGGAGAAGTTGGGGTGAGACTGGCGGGGGGGGAAGAGGCGGCTGCGAAGGCGGGGAGCGAGGTAGCAGAAGCTGCAGACGATGACGATGACAGCGCAGACTATGACGGCGATCTGCGAGCTCGGGAGCTTCGAACTGCCTCCTGGAGCCCCTGGTGGGACGTGCGTCACCCACCTGCTGGTAGGGGAGAGCTGGAGTACCTGCTGGGGTCGAGGGCAGGGTGTTGGCCGAGGAATTGATGACGATGCGCTCACCGGAAGGAAGGAGGAGCTCCTGGGATGAGCAGGTGAAGGAAGTAAGGGGAAAGAGGCGAAGGTGAGATAGAGCGAGGAAAATTTGATGAGACGAGGAGAGTGCGAGGAGGAAGAGGAGGAAAGGGAGGAAAAATCACCGTAACTTGAAGCCCTGAGTCACTGAACGTTCCCTGCGGGACATCAGAGGAGCAGGCGAAGGAGGAGGAGGAGGAGGAGGAGGAGGAGGAGGAGGAGGAGGAGGAGGAGGAGGAGGAGGAGGG